GTTCGTTTGATATATATGATATCTCATTAGTCTAATTTAATAAATTATTGAAATCTCTAATTCACCTAATCAATCACGTGTGCTTGTAATCTGAAGTTAAACGTGTTTCAAGTACTTTTGATTTTGACCTATACCTATTTATTATATCTCAGTTCGACCCAGGCGACACCTTCAAGTGACTAAAATGCTTCACTTTGAAGTTAGTTTCCTAGCTGATTTTAAATTATATAGGGTATATGCTCCAACTACGCTCACACGTTCCCACTATGTCGTGCCACAAAATTACGTATGGATATATCACAATAGAAGCACGCCACAGTGGAAATCCCGAGCCATAGTTCAAACACTTATTCCAAATCAAAATGAAGCACATATAAGATTAGTTACAATACCATGTACAAAAATGATCTTTAACATTGTTCCCTGAGTATATCATACTTCAATGAAAACAACAATGAAAGCTTGTCACGCAAGTAAAAGAAGCACCGTTGGGCACTTTCTGAAATATTTCAATAGTATAATTCCCTTGCAAACCCAAATAAATCTATCTACGAGAAAGGAGTAACAAGTGTGATACTATCACTGCTGGACTAGATCTTTGGTTTTCTCATGCAGTGGTTCATCAGAGAGGGGAAGCTTAGCAATCCCCATTGCCTGCCCATGGCACAATTCTATCGCGGCATGAGCCAGCAACGCCGGCCATAAATCTACCGTCTCCAACACTTCACTAGCATGAAATTAAGCCCGCCCACCAACAGCAAGGTGCAAAAACTAGCCAAGGGGAGGGGTCTTTATTCGCTCAGATTTCTTGTTTTAAATACGTTTTTAAAAGCTTTTTGTAGGCGGTTTTCTGAATTTACACATCACTTATCCTCCGAGTAAAAGCCGACTCCAGTATCCATGCTGACGCCATACACGCAGAAAAAAATATTATCGAAATAAAAATATTTGAGGTAAATATAAACGTAAACTCAGTTTGTTCTGGCCACAAAAATATATTAAATTTATTTCAAACGTATTTTAACCTCCATTTCCTCACTCTGCAGATCACGAATTTGTTATTAAATCGCGAAATTGAGGCACAGAGAAAAATGTTCAAAGTACCGATTTTAGACAATTTTTTACAATTTTAGGACAACATTTTTTGAAGATCTAGGATATTTATGAAGCGGTGCAACAACATGAAAAACTGCAGTATAGTATTAAATGTAGTCGCTATAACGAACTGGTCGTCTTTTTACTTTGCTTCATACCTCCCAAGAACAGAATCTTCTGTAACACCTCAAACATAGAAAAAGAATGAAAACTCAGACACAACTTTTCTAGATCGCTGTTTAAGAAAAAATCTCATTATTATGGCACGAGGAAAATTTTCCCAAATGGAATGATCACGGACATAAAACAACATTGAATGCGTCTAGGACTTAAAATTTCGATCGTGAAAAATTAATTTTTTTTTTTATTTCTTTATTTTTTTCTAAGACCTGGATCTGGAATTTTTGTTTTTGTATTACCGGAATATTAGTATGGAAAAAATACAATACAGTTTAATGGACTTAAAAAGGAACTCAAGAATCTGTGTCATGATTTTGTTTTATCGATGTTTGGACAAATACTAAAGCTACCGGGGATTAAAGATTATTCAAATTTCTGGCTTTTGAACAAATGTCGAGAGCTTGAAAATTTTCCTACACCATTTTTTGACATTATACATTGAACCAAAGGGAAAGGTAATTTTTACCTGAAAATTCAGGTAACCTCTTAAAAATAGGAATTCAATAAGGTTCACGTGCCGGACATAAAATGCAATGACATGGTAGTGAATTCCACTGGTTTCACTGGACCAGTCCACATGTCATGCTGGTGCAGGTTAAGTGAAATTCAAGTAAGCTTTTCGTGATTTCACCATTTCACGGTATGAACAATTTCTTGTCGTATTCGTAATTCAAAAATTGCGGTGCGCTTTCGTTGTTATTGGACGAGTTGGAATTAACAGGATTCTTCTTGTTTTCAAGCGTAAGTTTTACAATTTTTATAAATTAAAAATTAAATTGAATAAGACGGGAATGGATTGTTCGAGGTGCTAAGAATCAACAATTGAAGAACAATAAGTGCTACTAAATATACGGTTAATGTACTCATAGATCATCAGTGCCATTATTAAATAATGTAAATTAGTGTCTTTTCCTAGAATGCAATCATTTAATGACTCAAATCAATCGAAATATATATATATAGTCTATCACCAATTCACTTTATCATTACTACAAAATCCAGTCACATTTACTTGCTGGTTACCGTAACTTTTAAGTGATGCCAATTTGAAGATTATCGGAAAGTCCAATAAAATTTTCGTGCAAATCAATTGATTTGTGAATCACTCAAATGTAATCTCTCCCCCAAAACACGTATTATACACCTGAAAAGTGTGATGAAAAATATCTACTTGCCTTTTCAGGTGAATTTTACGTAACCTTTTTTTTTACAGTGTAAGCTTGGACAACTTTCAAGATCTTAATGTAAAATAGCCTGACTATTAAGTGTAGAACTTTTTTTGAAATCTCTGAAAATTTATGATAGGTCTATGCCAATTTCAAGATAAAAAAAAATCAAAATATTAGATTCCGTCAACAGTTAATGTTTCCATATGTTCGCAACTCTTCTTATCAGACTTTACTCTGAGTTTTTAAAATCAAACTCTTTACTCTCAACATTGGTCGTAAAAAAGTGACTTTAGTGACTAAATTTGAAGAAATAGTGATTTTTCTGACTTTTTGATGAAAAAAGTGACTTTTTAGTGACTGACTTGAAAATAGTGACCATGTCACTAAAAAGTGACTTCAACCCTGTGAATGAAGTTACAGATAGCATTAGGTACTGTTTTCATAATTTTCAAATCCACGTCTGAAAACTTCAAACGCAATTTTCTTAGAGAATGAGTATATTTTAATTTCCAATTTTATGGCACAATCTTATTTTTTTTTATTCCTTGGATTTGTTTTCCGTTGATCTTTTCCGTGCTGAGCACAAAAAATGCTACCGACGCCAGGAAGGCAGCTCCCACACCTGAACCCTACCTATCGACCCATCAAACTCATGAACCGGGCACCAACGGCTTTACTTCCCTTCCGAAGGAAGGCGTGATCAGAGATGCTATGCCTCAGAACATCCCGGCGGCGCCGACTGGGATTGAACCCAGGCCTGCTGGGGTGAGAGGTAATCACGCTTACCACTACACCACCGGCGCCGCTGTGGCACAATCATAACGACATGCAGTAATTTGCGTAATTCGTGAGATATTGCATTTTAAGGCATCAAAAGTTAAATAAATTTTTATGAAACATAATAACAAAAAAGTTTTTTTACATAGTCGCCAAATTTATATTTTATTTAGCGACTGAATACTTTAAACTTGATTTTTTTTTTAAGTAGATGTAGATTTTTACATACGATAGATTAACTAACCCAAAGTTGAAACGGTCAAATGATCGTTTCATATAGAAGCGCTAGAGTTGGTTGAACCTAGTGATTAGGCAATAGGTAAATTCGAGTGCTCTAATCAATTTCTTTTGAAATGACGATGATAGTGGGGTGACTGTGTTTTCACCCATGTCAATGATTAATGACAGGGAAAATCTAATGATGAATTTTTAAAATCAATGGAAATGGAAACAAAACTTGGAAAACTGAAAAGATGAAATGAATAAAAGGGAAGTTAATTGGTTGGCCAGGGAGAGCTATTTTGTATTTCTCTTTTGAACCACCGAGTGAAGAAGACAAGTTACAGAATTTTAAGAAAATCAGTGCACACACTTATGTCGTTTTCGTTTTTGCGGTGTAGCTACACCGGTGCTACACTGCCGTACACCGAAATATTTTAGGGTGTAGATATAGGATGCACCTTTGTTTACAAACAAATTGTGTTGAGCTGTCAAAGACTCGCGCTTATTCCTGCTTACACTACACCAGTGCTACACCGCAAAAACGAAAACGACATTAGAAAAAAATCATGTTAATTTAGATACTCTAAGGGCCGATTTCTTCACCTCCGCTTAAGCCTTAAACCACGTTTAACTATATGGGTAAGCTTGGTTTAAGATTTAAGCGGGGGTGAAGAAAACGGCCCTAAGACTGACATATAGGGTTAACTACCCCATTTCCGGCCTATTAAGCACAACCCGCACTTAGTCTTTCTTATTATTGCGCAGTTTAGCACCACACAGAATGTTATTATTACTGATGGCTTCCAAATTTATTTACCTTTCCGTATGTACCGTAAGATTTTAAAAAGAGAAACTAATCGTTGAGATATTGTTAAAAATCTAACGCTGCTTCTTGACGCCAAACTCGGCTTACGGATTCTAAACTCGGCCTAACGCATTGAAACGCCAATGAATTCACTTCGGCCTATCGGATGAAGATAAAAATTGATTCAGTCGGAACGCTTCTTTTGATTTTGGGAATAATGGGTGCATATCACGCGTTCTCATTGACTTCGTTCCGTAGCCAATAAAGTAAAGTATAGTACCAAACGCACAATTGACTTGTTAACTCTGAAATCAAGGATTTATTTGAAGTTTTCTGCTCGATAGGTTCAAAATGGGCGATTAGGCCGAAGTAGTTCTCTACCCTACGACCGTCAATTATAGCGAATTATTTTATTATTCAGTTCCAACCTGGATCGGGCATCAATATTGGGTCTGCTTGTTTTCTGACAAACGTTAATTTGATCGTTTGTTCTTAAAACCTACCTCAGATTAATGTTCGCACTGACAAGAAGTTCGGTTTCGCACTGGTTCAAACTTCGATAATAAACGAATTCGCTATTAGTGTGTTTAAATTATATTATATTTTAAAAACTCTATTCCTTTTCTTAATTTTTTATTGTCTTTGCTAGTGGTGGGATTAACAATTATATTTTACCATGATTCATTGCAATAATACGACAGTTTGCAGACAAGCCCAAAATGCAAAATAATAATCTTCAATGTAAATCTTACCTGACTGAGGAATGTTGACGTTAAGCATAGGATATAGAAAAGGTAAATCCTACTCATTGTGCTTTGCACGTTTTTGGTCTCGTTAGAATAGTGTAGAAGAAGGCGGATGAGCACGTTATTCTTTGTCAGCCTAGCTTAGTTGGTTGGCGGTAGTAATAGTGTAAATCCGGCAGCAAGATGGCAGCCTTGATAGATCGATTAAAATTACGATAATCGATTAGTATGTATAACCGCTCATCTGCCCTGCATCACAGAACGATACTGGATGGTTAAGATCTATTCTTGATTTTCGGCAACATTGCAACATTTATTTGTTTCCTACAGCGATCATCACAACACATTCGCACACAGTAGGATCTTCTTCGACGTATTATCAAATCATGATATGAAAGTTGGGGCAGGTTTCTTTGACTACTTTTTTCTTACACTTCTTTTGACACAATCCAGCTTTTTAAACACTGAAACAACCAGTTTGCAAAAAAAAATCCTTTCTAGGTATTTAAACACTTTTGTAAACTGCTGTTGCACGGATAAACTTAATTTCCACTATTTCTTATTCCCACGGCTTGTTGCTTCTTTTTGCCGGCTACTTTTTCGCGTCGTATCCCGGTCACTGCAATTTATGCACGAGCACGTTGCTGAAAAGAAGCAGCACAGCGATGCCAATCACAGGTCAATAAACACTTCAAATTTCGTTTTTTTTTTTCCTTATGTAAACGAAAATCTTCAACACTACGCTTACCACTCGAAGTAAAAATTTTTAAACCATGCCCGGATATGGTCGAAAATTTGTTCCAGTAATGAGGTAAAGCGCTTTTCACACCGTAAGGATCTATGGATGCAGCTTGCCACTAAACGCGACCTAACAGAAGAGTAATTTTCAAAACCGAACCGCGCAACGTTCTCTCACAGACTAGCTTGAGAAAAGCTCTTAATGTATATTCAACTTCGGTTCGGCTCACTTCGGCTCGGCTCACTTCGGCTCAGCTCTATCTCTCGTTGGTTTTCACCCAATTCTTTCACACATACACGGTATAATAGTATTGTATTTCACGCTCAGTCACCACACAGCTGCCACTACCAGACGCAGCCATAATATTATTCGATGCTGCGAATAAGGTTGCCAGATTATGTGATCGCCCTGAACAATCATAATTATTATTCAAGGATAAGTTTTGTCAATGCCGTATCTGCTTTTATAAACAATAATTCAAACATCAATAAGTCGAAACTTTTAGCTCGTCCACGCAAAATAGGGCCCATACATTAATAGGCCCTTCCCATTCACCATCAATGTAGAGTGCGCTAGCCAATTTTTAAAGAAAATGTCATCCAATCCATTTTTTAACATCATAATGACAATTTTCAAAACTCAAAACCACAAACGAAGTGACAGACGACTAACTGGCGAAGAAATCCATTTAAATAATGTGGTTCACTGTAATAGAATTTTCTTAGAAGCTTTTGCCATCATCCACCAGATGGGATAGTATTTTTGTTTTGATTTGAACATAGTTGGTTTTGTGTGCAATATGATCTTTGACAGTGTGCAAAGAGTGTACCATTTTGTCATTTTTTATGCATTTCAGTTTAGAGTAGAGTGAAAGAGATAGAACCAAAACTTTCTAGTACAATCCATTAGTAGTGTTGCCATGTGGTACAATCCAGTAGTAGTGGTGTTGCCATGTGGTACACTGAAAAATTGAAATAGCAGGTGCGTCGCCAAAGTTTTCGAGCTGCTCCGTCGGTCATTTCGTTTGTGCTCAAAAAAATGTACATTTTATTGGCAAATCAAAGTTGGCACTCGTGGAGAATAGAAGAACTATAATAGTGATGATGGTTTCAAATTTTTACACGGTGAGGTATACGAGTGCAATCGTAAAATGCTTTTATTTTGCAAATGGAGCATTTTATTTAAATATCTGGTTAATGCTACGTTAGTAGAAAACTTTAGGACTACTCAATACGCCTTTTTAATGCACCACCAACGTAGAGTGCGCCACGCGAGTTCGAGAAGAAACGTCAACCAAACCGTTTGTTTACATCAGAATAAGTATTTTCCCCAACGCAAATAATAGCATTTTTCATTCAAAATCTTGCCAATTTCTATCGGTAATTGTCTTTTTGTACGATTTTCCAGAAATCTGAACTGATTTGCACCTTAACTATTCACACACAAGAAATCCGGAAGATCATAACCACTAAGGCACATTTCTAATTTTCCATTTTTCTCAACAAAAATATTCCTGAACACCAGCAGGATCTTCGTAAAAACGTTACAGAATTAAATGTTTCAACTGTAGATTAAGTTTTGCAGCATCTCAGATGAATCAATTTATCAGGAAAAGTAAAAAAGTGTTCCGCTTCCTATGTCTCAAGGCAAACATTTATGCTCACAACACTCTTTTTGACGTTCTCCTATTCACCACCAGAGGCTGAATCGATCGTTTAGTTTCTATTAAAAAGGCCTATAGACATATAACATAAAAAAATAATTTCTTTTCAGATTTTTAGGTGTATACATAGATTTCAGTTTTTCTACCACTGTAGCAACAACTACATTTAAATAAAATGCTCAATTTGCAAAATAAACGCTTTTAAAGATTATACTTGTATACCTCCCCGTGTAAAATTTTGAAACTATCATCACTTTCATAGTTCTTCTATTCTCCACGAGTGCCAACTTTGATTTGCCAATTGTAGACAACTTTGCAAATTTCCGAGCAGTAGTGGTCGTATTTTTTGATTATCTACAGATCTGAACTGATTTCCAGCTGAAATAACCACACATTAAAAATCCGGAAGATCATAACCGCTGGGATAATTTAATAAATCTTAATTTTTTTTATCAAAAATATATGTAAACACCAGAAGGATCACTACAAACCCGATTGGCTAATCAAAGTTGGCACTCGTGGAGAATAAAAGAACTATGAGAGTGATGAAGGTTTCAAAATTTTACACTGTGAGGTATACTAGTGCAATCTTTAAATGCTTTTATTTTGCAAATTGAGCATTTTATTTAAGTAAATCGATTAACGTATCCCATTCTAGTTAAAATTCTAGTACTACACATTGTTTGTTTTGATTCGCTATGGAAGTTTGACAGATAATATGAGGGGTTCGTGGATTTTCCTATGTTTTGAGGCGTTCATCGATTAGCTTGGGACCGAAGATATTTAGTACCAGAGCTGAACCAAAAAGTTGAGCACGTTTCTTCAGGACCTACTAGTCTTATGTTCACATTACAGCCTATATCACGTAATATAGGCTGTCTTGCAATGAGCACTCATACATAGGATTTCCAGTGAAAACTAGATGTATGAGTGCTCATTGCAAGATATCGTATATCACGTGATATACGCTGTAATGTGAACGTAGTATTAGAGTTACATTATGGTTATTATCATTGCGTAAGTGGTGTTCATATGTGGGTCAATATGTAGAGCTTTGTGCCACTTACGAAGATTTTTTTTGTGGGAAGGTTCCATATCTTAGCGTATTTTCGCACAGCAACGATGGATGCAACATAGTCCAGTAGTGTGGAATTTTGTACATTCAGAGATGGTAATTTTTGGCTTGGAACAGCGTTGATGTTGAGCAGTGTTGGGAAAATATCCAAAAATCAAATCTCACAAACGCCCAAGATCACGCTTGATTTCCGTAGACGAAAATCAACAAGCAAACAACTGCGGTTGAATTTGCAAACTGTGATATTGGAGCTCGGAATATCAAGCTAACAAAACTCACCAGCTGCAAATCTCGACAAACTGTGGTGAGATTGAGTTTCATGATTTTTGCTTTACACCCGAATGCAACCGGAACTTCCATAACGGCTGGCAGCAGTCACTTCGTGTCTGCCATCGGTGAGGAGTAAAAAGAGATAGCAAACTGGTATACTTTCTCTTTCTAAGAAAACGATGTGCAACAGAATCATTTTTGTGTCGAATCAACTCTCAGCATGTTGAGAATAGTCTCGCAATATCAAAGGAGCTTGTAAAATCAACATCAAGCATGATATTTTGTTCCATTATCACGCGTGATATTGCAAGCGCATGAGAGCGGAAAAATATCAATGGACCACTTTGTCAAGCAGTTTTGGCGTAACTTTCTACCAGCGATTTCTCCAAACTGGACCAACAAATTACTATTTTTTAATGAAACGCACAAATGTGTTACCGTTTTGGTTCCTGTACCCTATTGGCTCACTTCGAGCGAGAAAAAATCAGGAGATAGCGAGAGCGAGGAATAGGGTATATGTGTGTTCATTGTGAATTCAATATGTATGTCAGTTTCTTGTATGCAATATTGTATTGTTTTGAATGTAAGTAAATATGTACTCCCAAACCAACGGTCCAATTAAAAATTGTAACCCAGTCACACCAACAACACATAACACATAACACATAACGGGAAGGAGTAAGGATGAAGGTGGGCGTTGGAAACAGGAGAAGGATATGGACAAGGGGTGGTGGAAAAGTGGGAGGGAGGTGGAAATGGGCTTAGGTCAAGGGGGAAGCTACTGGGTCAAACTGAAGAGAAGGTTCTCTTTCACTTCAGCCATTGCGCGAGATAGTTCGATCTGCCAAGTTTGCTTTAAGTTTCGAATAATAGTGAAGAGTTACCAACAAATACCGGTTAATACCACCGAATACGGAGTCAGGTAGGACCCAATCAATAACCCGGTAGTGGAATTCCCAGCCCTAAGACCACCTCTCATATTCCCCTCAGGACCCATTAATTACGGGCTAAAACCACGAGGGCGTCCGTTAATACGCCAACACCCGTGTAGCAAGGGTCCATCGGTTATATACCGACGACCACTGGGAGACCACCGTCGATCACCCGATCGACTTCCAGTACAACATCCGTCGTGCCACACGGTGATAACCGTCGAGTACTGGCATCCACCGTGAGCAGTCCGTTCATCCGCCGCCGTAAAACCCCACCCGCTGCAGAATCCCGTCATCGCTGGCCAGCATTACACACACATACACACTACAGACACCTAAATCGTAAGTAATAAAAGAGTAAAAGTGATAAAAAGGTGTTTTGTTCTTTTGATCAGTGCCGACAAGCCAGGAGCCGACCTTGAAGCTCCAGGGTTTCAAGCTCGAGCTAGCCAACAAAAGAGGCGAGTGTAGCCCACCCCAGACGATCTCCGTGGCTAGACCAGAGGCTAGGGGAATCCCTTTTAACTAGCCCATCTGGCTAGCCATTAACAAATGTTGGCTACTTTTCTCGTGGTTCTAGAACAAAAAATCTCAAAATAATGTTTTATTTCAAAGTTCGAGTGGTAGTAAATGTCATTTTAACTGCTCGAATGACGTGGTTAATTGATTGCTGATTTTTCCATCACTGGTGCAAACAGTGTATCATTTTGTAATTTTTTTATGCATTTCAGTTTTGACTAGAGTGAAAGAGATAGAGCCAAAACATTCTAGTACATGTAGTGTTGTAATGTGGTACAATCAACAATCAATACGAAACTAACGATTTTAAATTGGCTCACCACTTTAGTAGCCTATTGGTCCCAAGCAAACGATTAACGTACCCTATTCTAGTTGAAATTCTATTACTACACTATGTTTGTTTTGATTCGCTATGAAAGTTTGACAGATAACATCAGGGGTGTGTGGATTCATGCAGAACATGCAGGGGTGAGTGAAATAGCTTGGGACTGCTTGGGACCGTTGTTCTGGTACTGAGTGAGCCAAAAATAATAATGATTTTCTTCGGGACCTACTAGTCTTAGAGTTACCTCTATGGTACAATCCAGCAATAGTGTTGCCATGTGGTACAATCCAGCAGTAGTGTTGCCATGTGGTACACTGAAAAATTGCAATAGCAGGTTCGTCACCAAAGTTTTCGAGTCACTCCCTCTGTCACTTCGTTTGTG